CAAATGCGTACATGGAAGGTATTCTGATCTAGTGAAAAAATCTGAACTATTTCAAATAATACCATTTTATCGTGCCCTGCATAGAGAAAGGATAGCCAATTTCTAACCACAATCACAATCACAATCGCCATCTCACTTCCTCTGGTATTGGATTGTATTTAATTTTTTCTGCATGTGTTTGTAAAAGATTGTCAAACGAAAGGAAGGAGTGGAGGGGTTTTGTTTGAGCCGTCAAAGTGCCTTGTGGCTTGTTTTGGACTGCCTTCAGCTGCAATAATGAGTAAGATCACTGCCTTTGGTGAATAAGCTGTCTCCACATGTTTATGTTATACCTGACACATTTCTTCATATGTGATGAACAGTATCCTGTCTCCCAGCTCGGCAGTTCTCCAGCCTTTCACATGGTCGGTCCATTTTCCAAACATCACTGCAGACAACATGGAAAATAGACCTCAGCATAAATACAAAGGTGACTTTTACTTCCTTTCAAAATGTGTTCACATTATAATTCTGAAGCTCTCTTTATTGGGGATGAAACCACTCACCATTGCCATCAAGGAATTTTTCGATGAATTCATCAAAGGTCCCTGGATCATCAAGGAATTCGGCCATCTGATGGAAGTAGTATGAAGACACTAGGATGTCCTTAGGGTTCCGCATGACATAGATCACCTATAGTAGAGACATGAGAGACTAATTCAATAACACACTAAATACAATGTTTGTTAGATAAGATATTAATTATTGAAGGACAGCATTTTAAAACATTTTTTAATTACAGACAAATACGTGGAAGCTTTCACAGAAACACCACAATATGGAGCTCAATTCATAGATGTTTCCAAAAGAAAATTAAAAAGAAAAGAAAATGCCTCCACCCTTTTACCTTTGCTTTGGAGGCGTGGAAGGATGGGGGCATGAGTCGGAAAGGGAAATGTGTGACCATTGCCCGTGGAGCAGTCAACGTATCCGCAATCACTGCTAATCTTTTCTCCTCCAGCCAGGGGACCCTATCCCAGTTAGGGATGGTTTGGATTGGGGTCAGATCGCCTCCATTCAGCAGCAGTGGGAGGATTTCCTGCATCCAGATTGTGCCTGCAGAAGATAAAAAATAGTAGAACAGTCGATAAAATGGCTGCTGCAACTATAGTATCTGATGCACAAATAAAGAAGCTGACAAGATTTCACTGGGGTTTGAGGAGCAACTATTCGCTATGATTTCAATGTTTACCTATCTACGATTGTCCTAGGAGATATTACTCCTCAGAAATACTTGGTTCCTATGACACATGAACAGTAATAAGGAGGTACGGAATGTAGATTGAATGAATGTGCAAAAGAGGACATTCCATTTCAAGCAGACATCTCAATAACAGACACTATGGGCTTGTTTCACCCTAATGAGGTCATATCTCTTGGGAAAGTTTGGAAACAGAACTGATTGTTATGTGTGAAGTGTTCCTCTGTGCAAACAAAATAGGAATTGTTGTTCAAAAATATTCCTATGCCATTTAGAAATAATGGCTCTGAAAGACATTCCCATGCAAGAAGGACTTCTCATTGTTAGAGAAATACACATGGAAGGGCTAAATGTAATAACTGGTGCAGTGACTACTGTCATTCACCCACAGAACTGTTCACACATGCTGGAAAATGATTGAAAGGAAGGTCTGAGTTGACCTGAGTTAATTTTTTATGTCGGATGATAACAGTTAATGATGGTACCCAAACTCAGTGCTTTAGTTGACATCAACCGCACTGGGCTTACAGAAGAGTGATACAGAATGGTGCAGTGATACACAATATGCTCTTTCCTCATCGCGATGTTGGGCTCAATGCCTTGATGTTAAACAGCTAGTTATGCTTCATTCTATGGTTACCTTTTCTGCTAGCTTGGGCCACTTCATACAGCTGTGATCTGATCGGTTGTGCACCGAAGGGTCAGCGATAACGAGCGCAGTGCCGGGCAATATTTACGATCATTGCAGGTTCGTTTTCCACAGACCTTATTTCGAGCTATTTTCCAAAATCCTATGGAGAAATCCCATTGCTTTTTTTTCGAGGGCACGTTCTTATTATACATCCATGGAGGGAACCCATGCGCAGCTTACTTCCGGGTTTTAGGACGCGTCACTGCACCACTCTATGCCGAGGGTAGTGCACTCTCTGGCCCAGGCCAAATCCCAAATCCCAAACCACCCCCTACACCCTACACCCTACACCCTACACACTACACACTACACACTACACACTACACACTACACACTCCCCCTCCGTTCGCGCGGCGGGTCCGCCACATTGAGGGCTGTTCCAAAGCAATCAGGGCGGAAGGGTAGTGGGTTATAAAAGCCTCCGACAGCGAGTTTGCATGGACGCAAACTCGATAATCTCACTTTTCGGGCATGGAGGAAACAACGTCATACAAATGTGAGTTCCATGTGGTTATTTTTTTTTAACGATAATTAATACGTTACCTTAACTAAAACATGCCTTTGTGAACATGTATTTTGAACTCTACACGTGATAATTTGATTTGGCAAGATTACATTAGATTTTTATTTTGAAGATGTACAAATCTAAATCGGAATCAAACTAACAACACATGTGTCAATTCATGTATCCATTCACTTACAAAATCGGTTTAAACTTAAGTGTGATTTGTAATTTCAGGGACTGTGGTAAAAACCAAGGCACTTATTGCATTAAGGATGGACAAGGACGACCTGTTCAGCAAAAAACGCAATGCTGCCAAAGAAGCATGGGAGTAAGTTATGCACTCAATTCATATTTTCTGCAATGAAAGTAATGAATGTGCACTGTGGGTCATTGCCTTAACACCAATATATATTGTTTAAATATTCTATAATAACAGGTCAATCATTAAGGAACTGGACCTTGGTCAACATGTGTCTCACAAACAGGCCCAGTGGCGGCGCTAGGGGGTGGCTACTTGGGCTTAAGCCCCGGATGTTTTCTGAAAAGCCCCGGATGTTTCACTTAAAAAAAAACTTTTTTAAAAACGTCTCGGGAGTAATGTGCAGTACCGGAGTCCACCAGAGAGGCAGCCGCTGCGGGACAGTAGCCTGCGTACTACGTAACCTTCCCTGCCCTGAAGAACAAGTGATCCTTCCTAGAGCCTGACCAGTTTTAAGCTAATAGCCTATAAAGTTATGGATATTCGAAAGTTATTTTCATTGAAGCAGGCGCCACAACTTGCAGCAGAAGCAGCAGTATCAGCAGCTGACAACAAGGTCATCACCAGCAGTGAAGAAATGGATGATGTTTCAGGTTTGTGAATCTAATGGTGATATCTGCACTCTGGCTGACTGAGTAAGAAGTGAAAAAGAGTGATGTAACGTTAATGTTATAGCTAGTAAACATGGAGTAACCACACTAAGTATACCCTTATATGTTAGTATGTATACAGAACTAAATGACAAAAAATTATCCTAAGATGTAACGTTAACCCTTCATACCTCAGTCTACTTTTAAGACACTAAAATAACGTATTCCAATTTTTATTTTGTTTTTGTGCGTGGAATTATACCAGCTCTCGTTTCAGTACACATAACAACGGAACCATAGCAACGGAACTGACAGGCAACCCTCTGAATCCGACTCCGATTGGCTGTGACATTGTGACAATGTATTCAGTTTCCGATTCAGAAACGTGACTCTTACACTCTTTACGTCACAACAAAGATGGTGG